CAGCTTCATCTAGTATCTTATTGGTCTATATACGTATTTATATACAGCTTCATCTAGTATCTTATTGGTCTATATACATGTATTTGTCTACAGCTTCATCTAGTATCTTACTGGTCTATATACATGTATTTATCTACAGCTTCATCTAGTATCTTATTGGTCTATATATGTGTATTTATCTACAGCTTCATCTGGTATCTTATTGGTCTATATATGTGTATTTATCTACAGCTTCATCTGGTATCTTACTGGTCTATATATGTGTATTTATCTACAGCTTCATCTAGTATCTTATCGGTCTATATATGTGTATTTATCTACAGCTTCATCTAGTATCTTATCGGTCTATATATGTGTATTTATCTACAGCTTCATCTAGTATCTTATTGGTCTATATACGTATTTATCTACAGCTTCATCTAGTATCTTATTGGTCTATATATACATGTATTTGTCTACAGCTTCATCTAGTATCTTGTTGGTCTATATATGTGTATTTATCTACAGCTTCATCTAGTATCTTATTGGTCTATATATACATGTATTTGTCTACAGCTTAATCTAGTATCTTGTTGGTCTATATATGTGTATTTATCTACAGCTTCATCTAGTATCTTATTGGTCTATATATACGTATTTATCTACAGCTTCATCTAGTATCCTATCGGTCTATATATGTGTATTTATCTACAGCTTCATCTGGTATCTTATTGGTCTATATATGTGTATTTATCTACAGCTTCATCTAGTATCTTATTGGTCTATATAGGTGTATTTATCTACAGCTTCATGTAGTATCTTATTGATCTATATACATGTATTTATCTACAGCTTCATCTAGTATCTTATTGGTCTATATATATGTGTATTTATCTACAGCTTCATGTAGTATCTTATTGGTCTATATACATGTATTTATCTACAGCTCCATGTAGTATCTTATTGATCTATATACATGTATTTATCTACAGCTTCATCTAGTATCTTATTGGTCTATATATACGTATTTATCTACAGCTTCATCTAGTATCTTATTGGTCTATATATGTGTATTTATCCACAGCCTCATCTAGTATCTTATCGGTCTATATATACGTATTTATCTACAGCTTCATCTGGTATCTTATTGGTTTATATACATGTATTTAGCTACAGCTTCATCTAGTATCTTATCGGTTTATATATGTGTATTTATCTACAGCTTCATGTAGTATCTTATTGATCTATATATATGTGTATTTATCTACAGCTTCAAAAAAAAGGATGGGGAGCTTTTCATATAGTTACAATGTTGAAAAGTTTCAATTTGTGAATAATAATAATCGTTTCGGTGAGCTGGTCATTTTTAGAAGCGAAAACATGCCGGAATGATGTGTTCAAGTTAGCAATATTTTGCACATGGTTCCTACCTAAGACTTGTCGAAACGACATGCTAGAATTGGTAAGTAACCGTTGGCCATATTGAGCTGTAAGTATTACTGAATTATCAAGTCATCCTTACACGTGTCATTTATTGAAGGCAAGTTTTTTAACTGAGCGTTATTTTATGATCTTAATGAATGAATGTTTTCATTATATGCTAACGAAAAACAACGAAAAATAAAATTTTGGAAGTACCACAGTTTTCCAAACATTTATGGCTAGATCATGATTAAATTTAAAATTATAATGCTTTCTACTTTGGAGAATGTGGCTTTATAAATCGACACTCGTAAGAAATATATTAAAAGCCGGAACAAAGTATTATGCCTTTATAGGGGTGGTAGGAAGTATTGTGGATGTGTTCATAAAACCAGATCACACTATATTTATTTGGATGAAAGAAATTTGTATATTTATTACATATTCGCCTTATAATAAAATCCACACATCCGAAAAACATGACATTACACAACGAAACAAGTCCATAAAATAAAAAAAACTCGAAGTTAATGAAAGAGATTCCAAACTTAGATGCAATAAATTAAAACCCGTGAATATGTATATGTATCTATATACATAATGAGCAAGGGAAGGATGGCAACAAGTAAACTATAGGCGTAGTGAACATCTTGAAACCTATTCAGCAAGCATCAGAAACCTTTAAATTAAAGTACTTACACATTGTTGCGGAACACATAAATATTGTTGCGGAACACACATTTCTCCAATAATATATAATATATGGAATATGGGAGCTTTGACCAATGATAACAACACTTCAGGTTTTCTTATATCTAATGTTATTAAAGATAGCCTGTGGTGCTCGAGCGTACGAAAATATCACTAAAATGGTATTTGTCCTGCAACCTCTCATATACAATATCAACAGGCAAACTTCCGCCAGATATCGTGGCTTTATCACTGTATTTCGGGTGGTTAACCGGTTTCCAATCTTCATTACTGCACTTTAATTGTTTTACCAGTTTCCATTCTTTACTGTTTTACCGGTTTCCAATCTTTATCGCTGCTATTTAGTTGGTTAACCGGTTTCATAGCTTTGTCATTTCCCTTCAGTTTGATCTTTGCTTTCAGGTTTCACTAACAAGAATAGTTTCTTAGTGAGGATAAACTACAAAAACAATTTTAGTTTTTAAACACATCTTTCGGAGTGCGGACACTACCTTAAAAAGAAAATGATTCTTCCAAGTGTTTAGAAACATGATAAAAATACGAAACCGTAACAAATAAGAAAGTTCTTTTTTTTAGACACCCCAAACATATTGCCCCCCAGTGGCACAGCGGTATGTCTGCGGACTTACAACGCTAGAAACCGGGTTTCGATACTCGTGGTGGGCAGAGCACAGATAGCCCTTGAGTAGCTTTGTGCATAATTAAAAACAAACAAACAAACAAACCAAACATATTTTTTCCAGTAATTTCCTTACACCTTACGTTAATCACAGCCTTGCATGATGGGCTATTTCTGTGTTGCCCAAAACAGGGATCATACCATACTATTTAGTGCTATAGTCCCTCGAGCCACCTTATGTATAATCAAGCAGTTTTTTTTTCTTCTTTTAGGTTATATATATATAATGAAGTTTTATCTAATCCATAATTATGGAAATTTATCATTTCGGTGAATCTTTTGTAGTTAACCTTAAATGATGTAGGCCTACTTTTCAATAAAAATTTTTGTAGTTAACCTTAAATGATGTAGGCCTACTTTTCAATAAAAATTTTGTAGTTAACCTTAAATGATGTAGGCCTACTTTTCAATAAAAATTTTTGTAGTTAACCTTAAACGATGTAGGCCTACTTTTCAATAAAAATAGTTTGTTTTTAAAATAAACGAAACAATTTTAATATTCAGTAATTATTCTCGACTGGACTCGAAGTGTTCCAACGTCTAGTCCTTAATAGGGTAATACAACAATGATTTTAGCAACGAATTTCTTTTTCAACCTTTTAAGTCTCAAGATCTATATGAATAACGAGCGTTTCGATAGCCTCAGAGTATTATCTAGTTACTAGCACAACTTCTAGGTAAGAAATGATGAGAAATTCCGTTGTTCGGTAAGGATGGTGATGACGTAATAGTTCTAACCTACGTGATTGGACTGGAGAAATGTGACGTAATAGATCTAAGCGAGATGATTGGACTGGAGAAATGTGTTCGGTTGACACATTGCTTGTTCACAAATCAACCCAACGTCACAGGGGCAGAGTACAGTGTACAGGTTCGTTACGTCCAAGATGCCGTTGGGGTAGGAGAGTGACGTGTTTAGGGCAGAGTTTCTAGGGCGGCAGTACTCCCCCTGTTGGGACAGCTTCTGACAACGAGGTGTACTGAACCTCTCCATGGCTACAGAACAAAAACATACATAATTACTGAATAACTATAGATCATAACCACCACTATTTCGTAAAACTGTAACTGTTTAAACAGTAAAGTGATTCAAATCAACCAATGAGAGATAGGGATAAGCCAATTATTCAAATCGACGAATAAAATGAATTCATTGTCTTTTTGTTTATAACGATCAAAACGAGAATGGTTCTCTTATTTCTTTTTTTGAAATATAGAAATCAAAATTAAGGGATATTATTTTGTTACTAATTACAAATATAATGGTTTAAATTATGTATTTTTATTTTGCTAGGTGAACTCTGGTTGAAATCACTGGACACTTGCGTGAATTTGTTAAATCTATCATACGAAGCCAGAACTGAAAGAAGCGAGCTACGGTATCTAATTATTACAAAACGATAAATAAAGATTTAGTAGATGATCTTACCAACAACGCAGCATGAACCGGGATCACAATCTTGTTGGCTTCTACATCCTCTGAAACCTGGAAAGCTCTGCGCCATCTATCGAAGGAAGACAGAAATAAACAAAAAATTATAAATATATACACACAGAGAGAGATAGAGATAGAAGCAAAATAAAATTAGAGATTAAAAAAAAAGGATTTAATAACAAAACCAAAAAAATGTATGGTCGAATGATCAATAAGGAATATGTAAAAGTACAGGGTAAGGAGAAAAAAATACATAGTGATAAAGAATAATATTTTGAAAATATTTTTTAAAAAACGACCTTTACTCATCAGCTGATGATGATTTAATCAACGTTTCGTTATTTTGGCTTCTTTAGTGCTTCATAGTATAATGTAACTTTTATTATTATTATCTGGAGCGTAAAGATCGCTTTTTTTAATAACTTCATTTCCTAAATATCTCAATCCCTCCAGCTTGCACTACAAATTCTGAAAAATAAAAATAGATTTAATAATACAGAGGAAAGAAATAAAGGTTGTGTAACAATAGGAAATATATAAACAAAGAACATGCAACAATAGGATATGTAACAAAACAGAAGTAAGAAAAATGCAACAATACGGAGTGAAGAAACAAAAGATATTTAACTACGAAGACTGAAGAAACTGAAACCATATAAACAGAGTAAAGAAAGTGAAGAAACGGAGGATGTGTTAACAATACGGAGTGAAGAAACAAAGGTTATTTAACTACGAAGACTGAAGAAACTGAAACCATATAAACAGAGTAAAGAAAGTGAAGAAACAAAGGTTATTTAACTACGA